TGACGGTGCTGCTGTTGCGCCTGATGCTGACGGTACTGCTGCTGCGGCAGATGCTGACGGTGCTGCTGCTGTGGCTAACGGGTCTGCAGCTGACAGGACTGCGAATAACTGATTCACCATGTCGGGTGTGATGGCTGATGCTGACGGTGCTGCTGCTGCGGCAGATGCTGACGGTACTGCTGCTGCGGCAGATGCTGACGGTACTGTGGCTGACGGTGCTGCGGCTGATGCTGACTGTACTGTGGCTGATGCTGACTGTACTTTGGCTGACGGTGCTGGTGCTGCGGCTAACGGGTCTGCAGCTGACAGGACTGCGAATAACTGATTCACCATGTCGGGTGTGATGGGCAGTTTCTGTGATGGCGTAGCAGCAGGGGTTTGCAGTGGTGTGAGAGTAGAGATATCGGTGTGCTCAGAAGTTTCTGATGCAGGATCAGCGCTGAGGTCACCAGCTTCAATCTCCTTCAGGAGAGGATTACAAAGATTAGTTAGCATTGCACAGACTTGGAAGATTTCGCTGGAGAAAGAACGGTATTGGTAGGGTATGTAGTCGAGAATGGCGAAGATCTTTATGCGTTGTATGGCTCGCTCCACATGGATCCGAGCTCTTGCGATGCGGGCAGTTACATTTGCTTGAGCAGCGGTAAACTGAGGAGTAGTGAGAAAAGGAGGAAGATTTAGAGAAACACCAGCCGGCATCAAGTCATGGATCAGGAATCCTTTATCGGCGAGTACCATGTCACCGGCTGTCAACTTTGACAGCACTCCACAGTGGCGAACGACTTCTTTGTCGCTGGTTGAACCTGGGTACAGAGGACTGACATAATTGACAACACCGTTCGGTGCGACACCCACAAGACCTTTGAATGTATTTTTATGTTTGTAGTGGGAATAGGTCCACGTCTGAGTGTCCATACGGCTTGGAATTGCAATTTCGACTTCAGTACAATCAAGTATTAAACGACAACTGGAGAACGTAGAGAAGCAGACGGGTAGAGAAGTCTTGTTTTTCGTGACGGACGGAAGTTGCGACGGGAGCATGCCTTGATAGAGTACAGTATGAAGGACAGAAAGCCATGTATGGAAGATATTAGATATAGTGGTGTGCGAAGTGCCGAAACGTAAGCCGAGGTCAGTCAGACTGAAGTTGCACCGCAACTTCATGAGGGTGATGAGGAGCTGGTCCTCCATTGGTACCAGCTCCACTCGCCAGCCCTGGTGATACTCTATCGGGAACCTCGTGCAAAGACGAAACAGGATACGAAAGTCGTCAGCAGACGGCAGGCCGGTGTAGTGCCGGACAAGTTCAGCTTTCCGGGAAATAAATTCGAAACAGAACTGGATTTCCACCTTCGCTTTTCGCTTTTCTAAGGCACTAACTTCAGCCTTCAGCTTATCATACTTCACTTCGAGAATTGACGTGTCGATGCGTTGGAAAAGTTCAAGCAGGCGTTGCATAGTAGTAGCTTCACGTTCAGCAGCTTCGCGTTCAGCAGCTTCACGTTCAGCTTCAAATGGGTCAGCTTCAGTTGGTTCGCTACCATCCTTGTCCGTATCATCAACAGCTAATGCCTTTACAGTCCGTTTCCTGCACAAAATAATGGAGAGACAGTGAGAAACAAAACAAAAATGAAAGATTGCCCGTCGATGGTTCACAGTGTTATGAAATACTGATCTGGTCCTCTACTAGAATTCACATAGCACACTTCATTTAGGGGGATGGCAAAACAAATTTAGAAATCGCTTCAGGAGAACATCAAGTTCAATATACAAATCTCTTACATTGACCTAGACTACATACCTTCTATGCATTGGTTCAGGGTCCTGAAAACCGAACGCCTTATCCTTATTTCGTGGAAATATAGTGGGGTCCTTCTTTTTATCTCCGTCTTTGAAATGACAGCTACATAGTCGAGAACTGGCATCTGGCTCCTTGTCTTGTCGCCTGCAAAGTACAGAGCAAACAATATCCAGGAGAGTTTAGCTAGCTGCTCAATAACTTGAAACAATAGTAAATAGTCACAATAGATTGCATCATAAAAAGCCACCTACATGATTGTATAAGGATTTGCACAGTCTTGCTCATGTACTCATTTGGTTTAGCTTAGCCTAGACGGCTATCATTGATTAAAAACAAAATCGTTCTGCCAAAAATATAAGTTAGCACGGCAGGGCATGATTTATCCCATATCGCATGGCAGTTTGCGACGCAGATGCGCCTACTTCGCATGGCAGTTTGCGACGCAGATACGCCTACTTGCGACTCAAGGTCAGGGTTGTGTAACGAAAATGTGCGATGCATGCCATGCATTGCGGTCGAAAGGTCGTGTGAAGTGTGTACCTGTACCCCACATGTTCTGAGCACTCGGTACGGTACTGACTCTGACAGTAGCACAAATACGTAGTCGACTGCACAGATTGTGGAGTCCACAGACTACATGTTACCAAGAGTACATAACCCCAGGGTTATGTACTCTTGATGTTACCAAGAGTATATAACCCCCCAAGAGTGTGCAACTCTGCACATGGAGTCTCCGACGGCGAAAACTCATATCACGTGTCTCTGATACGTTCGTACTACGTACAAACGAAGGATTGCGTGCGTGCAATCCGAATATCTGCCATGATTTGGCTGGGGATTTGCATACCCGCAGTGAGTTTCTGTCAGATATTTTTTTTATTACTCCGCTGCTCGCTAAAAACGGGCTGGAAACGTACAACTGCGACACTGCACGTGATGTGAGTTTTCGCCGTCGACGTACCCCATAGAAAGGGTATCAGGAGTTGCACACTCTTGGGGAGTTATATACTCTTGAGGTTACATTGTACACTGCACTGATCTTTCATTTATGCCATGCACTGTAACACACGTGAGTTGCTATGCATCTGATTCTGGGTTTGAGTAAATCATGCCCTGCAGGATATGAAAGAGAAAAATCTGAGGAAGAATTTATCACGCCGTAGATATTTACGCACATCCGTCACCAACCAAATGTTTGAAGACCTATGGGAACAACTACATGTAGGCTTCCCTGCAACTATGGGAAAATAAAAAATAATTGAAAAAATTACTTCCACTCGATCGAACAAAATACAAACTGTGAAAAAGCGTTACGCCATCCATCCGCCAGCAAAGCAAAACGCATTAGCAGACTTGGTAAGCATTTACTCATAGCGTGAATAGCACATCACGATAAAACTATCCAGGTACTGTACAGGCTGCCTACATATCCTTACCGACACATCTTCCTCCATATCTCTCTGCGCTCTGGATCCCTCGCCGGGAATCGGAAGAAGCTGCACTTGCGATCCTCTGTCCTGTGGTTGCATTCTGCTGCAAAACACTGCACCATGGTCATACGAAGCCGCCCTGCCGGGTCAAGAGTATACTAGGTATCGAAAATTGCTCCCACAGTTCTTCAAGTGGCCTCTTCTCAAAATGTCGCTTCTTTCTGCTTCGAAAAGTATGGGAAACAGCATCAAATCAGCTTGACGCGAGTGGATCCAAAAAGCGAAGTGGATCCAGTTTTGTTGCCAAGCGACGATTGACGTCATCACTTTCAAGCCCTATTGTCATGACATGGCAACCACACGTAAACGACGTGCTAATGAAAGGAGGGACGTCGCCTCCGCCATCGCCACCTATGCCGAGTGACAGACACCCCCACGAACACTGAGCACTGAGCACTGGCAGAGGACGGTCAGGGCCAATCCTTATTAACTGAACTAACCTGTACATGTATATGAAAGAAGAGAAGAAAATGAGGGGCGGTACAAGTCAAGAGATGGAAGAACAGACGTTACTAGAAGTAGTTAGTTTACTCTTCCCCAAGTTCTTCGGTCAGCTTGCACCACTGCCACTGTCTGGATATGTCTTTATAGTACTACAGGTGGAATCCTGATAATTCTTTCCAGAAACAATAAAAGTACACGTCTCCAATACTAGTACAGTCTCCTGTAGTAGTACAGGTCTACAGGTCAGGTTTCACTTGAAAACACCGCCATTCCGGCAACAGGCTCTCAGCTGCACCAAATAAATAACTTTGCCAATATTTCGCCCATTGGGCATCAGCTGAGAGCCTGTTGCCGGAATGGCGGTGTTTTCAAGTGCAAGGAATACGCAGCAATGGAGTTTGGGAATTCTGAAGAAACGTACTGTACATTTATTGGGGAAAATACGGTAAGTGGAATCTGTGGGACTTCGAATTAACCGGACATATGCATACCCAGTTCGAGGTTAGAATTATCAGAATTTTTTAGGATTCCACCTGTAGTACTGACTGTACCTGCCTGCCAGTGCGCTTACGTCCGCTTCCGCCATTTCCCTCCCCCTGCACAAGCTCAACTCAGTGACCTCAGATGTAATGCTAGTACATGTACAAGCAACAATTAAATTAAATATTTTATTATGTACTTGAACAAGTACGAAGCAATGCGCCTATCTAGCTCCCTCGCCTGTTCAACCAGCTGACTGTACCCTCATCAGTCTCCTCACCTGTCACCGGTGTCACAGAGCTAGCCTAGAGTAGAGAGCTAGAGTCGAGAGAGGGAGAGAAAGTACTGAAGAAGTGCAGGACTTGTAGTTGTACTGTGTTGTGTGCGCACTGCTTTGGTTTGGGAGTTTGGCCTAATCTCCCGGACCGCAATACATCAATAGTGTCGTGGCTCGTGCGAACGATCAATGGCCAGTCCGACAACACGCAACAAACATCACCACCTCGCCGTGCACCTCGGCACCCAGTCACGCATCTGGCATTCACCTAGCCCTCCGCGAGCTGATATGTCAGTGATGAGGAAATTGAAAGGCGACACCGATCTCCCGGAGTTGTGTTGCCTTGTCAGGGCTAGTTTCCACGCGTCGGCATACATTGCGTAGATGGTGTATCGTCGACGTGGATGGGGAAAAGCAAGCGCGGCAGTCGCGCAGGTGCTGGCATGGTCTGCAGCTCTGTACAGTCTGTAGCCATTCGCCAAAACTGCACCAGGCATCACACTCACAGCTAGCTACAGGACCAAACCAAGGAGCGCGCTCGCGCTGGCTTTGTCTTCGACTTCACTCTGATCTTCTTCCCCTCAACTGCTAGCGTCAGCAGCGGATGCGAGCCGCATGTGGAATCGTCCTTTCTTGTCGCTGCTGCACCGCACCGACTTGTAGTTTTCTTGAAATCAAGACTGGAAGTCTGCATTCGACCTTTGGACTTGAACTTTTGAAGTCGACCTGGCCCTGTCTGGAGATCTATCCCGGTATCCGCGGCTGGCTACCTAGCTAGCTGTGGACGCATGAAGACCGAAGACCAAACTGACTGTGACCGTGTGGCCGTGTGGGTGTGAACTACTTGCCGACCTGGTGTTCTGTGTATGTACCGCCGGTCACAACACAATGCCACGTGTGCCGTGCTGCTCCGGTTGCTCGGACGAGCCGGAACGGGAGGATCCGTACGCACAGTTTTCCGACACGAAGCTCTTCATCGAGTCGGTGTCGGAGCGTGCCAAGACGCACCGGCAGCAGCTGGCTCTAGAGGCGGCGAAAGCTCGTGATAGGGTCGACTCCGGTTCGAATCCAGACGATGATACCACGGCAGGCCCCCAAACCAGTCTGCAGCGGTTGCAGCGCAACAATCCGTTTCAAGGCGTCCCGATGTGCCCCGCCATGCTCTTCTCGCAGGGCCAAGAAGCCAAGATCTGCCTATTCTGTGGGGAGGCGTTCGGAGTGAGCCGCCGCCGCCACCACTGCCGCCTGTGCGGGCATGTGTTTCACGGTGGACGGTGCTCGCGCAAGGAGCGCCTGACTGCCAGCCAAGCGGAGCCGGTCACAGTATGTGCGCTGTGCTACGGCTTCTACACGCACTACCGACAGTCCATGCAGCGAGGTGAGTGCAGAGAGCACATGTGCCGTGGAATTTTTCTGTTTGGCGCGCATGAGCAGTGCTGAAACCGAGACCCTTGGCTTGGCCGGTTGAGCTGCTCTTGCCCCGCCTCCACTGCTTCGGCTGCCAATGTGCCATCCCTATGTGTGTCCCTGTGAGTGTTGGACGGTGTTCGCACCATGATGGTTTGTGGCTATTTTGTAAAAAACAAACAAACAAACTAAAACAAAAACAAAAAACCTAGAGCTAGAATCTACAGGTGCAATAAAAAACCCTCACATCCGGACATCCCTAATCCGGGCACCTCCGTCTGGAGACGTCTATGGGCACCTTTTTGACCCATTATGATTTAGAGGCACAAAAATATTGCATGTCAACGAAAAACCGACCCCAGAAACTATTGATTGGCATTACAAAAAAAGGAAATATATTATTAAACTAGTCGTTTCTCTTCAACCCCCCCCCCCCCCCCCGTCCTCTTTCTGGACGTGCCCACACATACAAACTGTGCATCGATATGTTTCGAGAAACGAACAGGCGCTCAACCCCCTCCCCCCCCCCCCCCCCTAAACGACTAGTTTTCGTTTCTAAATAACTTCAACTCGGATGGTGAGCCAATTAATTATGGTGAAAAAGGAGAAGGACAAAATGTCACCATTTATGACTAACTGTCCACCAACGTAACCAGATCTTATACAGTCAGCGAGTGCAACAAAATGGCACAAAACTGACAAGGAGTACTGAGACACTCGCTGACTGTATAAGATCTGGTTACGTTGGTGGACAGTTAGTCATAACCCGTAACATTTTGTCCTTCTCCTTTTTCTAAATAAATTTCTATATTTATTTAGAAACGAAAACTAGTCGTTTAGGGGGGAGGGGGTTTAGCGCCTGTTCATTTCTTGAAACATATCGATGCACAGTTTGTATGTGTGGGCACGTCCAGAAAAGAAAAGAAAAACATCAATACTATGCATCGTTTGTATGTGTTCGTTTCTGAGGGAAGGGGAGGGGGGTTGAAGAGAAACGACTAGTTTTCGTTTCTAAATAAATATCGATATTTACGGATGACCCCTTACTTGCATTCAGAAAGTATTATAATAATAGCAATGAAAAGTATGAATGCCGCAGACATCACCACGCAACATGACAATTTGTTCAAGGTTTGGTTTTGTGTGTTTCTAAAATCGATTTTCACGTTCCGATCATCAGTGGAAATACGGAACTAAAGAGATCAAGGGAAAAACAAAGGTTAAAAATCCAAAGAAGTGTGACACATGACGGGTAACTTGTGGTAAGTATTACAATCTTTGTTTTTCCCTTGATCTCTTTAGTTCCGTATTTCCACTGATGATCGGAACGTGAAAATCGATTTTGGAAACACACAAAACCAAACCTTGAACAAATTGTCATGTTGCGTGGTGATGTCTACGGCATTCATACTTTTCATTGCTATTATTAAACTTTTATCTCCACGTAGATTATTTGTATATTAGAATTATACTAATATGTTGTTCTGTGTTACGGGCAATTCCTAGTTACGGGGGGGGGCGGTACTCAGGCCCAACCTGCCCAGATCTCGGGAGTTTTACTGTAAAGGCACTAGAGTATGCACTGGTCTGTACGTGAAGGAAATGCTGACCACATACATGTAATCACACATTACACCTGAAACCTGGCAAGTCCCTGAAACCTGGCAAGTCCCTGAAACCTGGCAAGTCCCTGAAACCTGGCAAGTCCCTGAAACCTGGCAAGTCCCTGAAACCTGGCAAGTCCCTGAAACCTGGCAAGTCCCTGAAACCTGGCAAGTCCCTGAAACCTGGCAAGTCCCTGAAACCTGGCAAGTCCCTGAAACCTGGCAAGTCCCTGAAACCTGGCAAGTCCCTGAAACCTGGCGGGTCCCCCCCCCCCCCCCAACACCGAAATTTTAATACATGGGCGGCGATGATGGGCCTCAACCAGCTAAAACAGCCCTTTGGGTCAACATTTTCAAAATTCCTTTTTGGTTAGAAATTTGTTGAACCACATCTACTGAAGGACCTCAGCCAAGAAAAAAATCAATATTCCGATTCTAAACGGGTGTATACACCAATATACAATAATTATTATGTTCTCCAAATTGGTGCAATGTATGTATACGATGTATGTGTACAATGAATATTCAGCATTCGAAGGTGGGTGGGCAGCTTGAATACTTTTGAAATAGTGAAGTAAGCAGCCATAATGACAAAGAATAGCTGATGATTGCAGAGAAATGATCGACATATTCGCAGCTGCATCCTGCGTGGAGTCGTTCCGCAATCTCGTCTTCCATTTCTTCCTCCGCAGCTGAAGACATTGCCTGTTCATATGGTGAAGTAAAATAAAGAAACAACAACAACATGACGTCGCTGCCGTCACTAGCCCCAGACTCAGAATTTATCTCAGGTGACGACTCCTCATCTTCCGACTCTGACGAGTCATCGGCCACCTTGAGCCGCATCGCAGTAGGAGATGACGGCTGCGATTCCGCCTCGCTGTCGACATCGATGTCGGAACCAAAGAACGTTTCATCCTCATTCAGAACTTCAGCGGCTACTTCAGCATCCACTCCCCACCAGGCTCGAGCTAGCTGTAGACAATGACTGCCGTGTGTGCTCTGCGAACAGCTCTGGCGTCCGCAACCATTGCAACAAGATCAAGGAACACTGGAGTCGCCACTCGGCACCACTTCAACTTCAAAATAAATTACTTCAAGCAAGGAGTTCAAGAAAGCGTCGCGCTGTTTGCAGCGCGATCAAAAAACCGTTGAACGTCACAAATCGACCTTTTCTCGAAAAAAATTACAAAATCTCTAAGGGTCGTTTTTGCTGATTGCGGCTCACATCTAAAATGTCATGTTATACAGTAATCCCAACACGAACAAGAACAAACTGAAATGCACTCACTGTATACCTGCTAGGCATTTCCCAAATCAGCCCGATTTTTTTCGCCTAGTCCGCTTTTCGATCGGCTAAGCCGGGACTGTCCAAATTCGGCCATATTATGAGCCCCAAAGTCAGAATTACCGCTCGCATGTACTTTTACACGAACGCTGTAGAGGCACTGAAACATCCATTTTCGGCGAATTCAGTGCGAAATTTGTAAATTTGGTGCAATTATCGGCGATTTCCTGACAGCCATTGATTTCGGCGTCTTTTTATTGCTGACTGTTTTCAGAAATGCCTAAAGTCGCAGTCACCTTTCGCAGATAATGGCTACAGAAATTGTATCTGCATGCTGTTGAGGCACTAAAACATCGATTTTCGGCAAATTCGGTGCGAAAATTGCATATTCGGCGAAAAGATCGATGATTTCTTCAAAACCACTGTTTTCGGCCAATTTTTCTGCCAGCCGATTTGGGGAAAAAATTCAATTTTTTCCGAGTTGAGCTGAACTTCTGATTCTTGCGTAGATGCATGCGTAGAGAATACATTTTTGTGTTATTATTATTCTACACCATAGCTCAGTGGTTAGAGCATCGCTAGCTACAAGCGAGGGTCCCTGGTTCGAGTCCTGGTGGTGACAGTCAATTTTTTCTTCAGACTTTTCCCGTTTGTGTCTTTCCCTCAAACTAGTGAAGATTATTATTATTGGCAATAAATAAGATAAATTGTGCACTCATAACAACAGCAAAAATGAAGAAAGTCAAGTTCCATAACGTTTTCGAAGCGTGGGAGACCACGAAAACATCCGCTGCCTATTTCTACACCTAGCACGGCTCACAATTCGGAAACAGAAACACCGACTACTTCCATGGAGAACGAGCAGACTAATCTGGTTCCCCCTCGGAAACCGGACCACGGCAAGGGAGGCCGCCGGACGGTCGCTCCTCGACAAACCATGTTGCTACAACGGTAAGAGCGGAAGGGGTACAACTTGAAAACAGAGCAGAACCGAGGAGAAGCAAGAGACTAGCAGAGGCACGACTGAGACAAGTGGAGAACACAAGGCAAGGAGACGCAGGAGGAAGCACAGGCACGGCACAGAACGAATCAAGGAGAGGGAAGCGGTGTCGCGAGGAGATGGAGACTGATGACGACGAATACGAGTGCGATGGGATGGACGGCGGCATTGGAATGGAGGTGGAGGATGAGAGTAGTGATGAGGAGGATTTTGATGTTGACAAGAGGAAGTCTGCAGTGTACAAGCATTTGGTGTCCAGTCCAGAATGTCGTAAGGTGTTTGACGATTCCTGGTTTAGTGTTATTCGTTGCGCACGTTTCTTCAAGCAATTGCAGGTGTTGGAAGCTGTGTATATTCGTACTCGTGACCCTGTGCTATGTAAACAGAAAGAAAACGTTGTAGCACGCACACTCTTCAAGTAATACACACGCACCATTACATTCATTCACACAGTATCACATTCATCTGCCACTACCTTTCTCACATACACTATATTCACACATTGCAAAGGTGCAAACTTCGCTTTTTGTACCTGTTAGCTGCTGTATTTCTACCTGAAACCATATTAGCTACATGTATATAAGTGTGTGTTTTAGTTATTACATTTTTATGTGACGGCGTTCCACTGATGACAGTCACAAGAAAACGTTATGGAACTTGACTTATGACTCTTATCCACAGTGATGGTAAATCTATCCTTCTTAGATCAATCCATATCTGGCTTGCATCATACTGGCAACTCACACCAATCAAGAGGGCCCTCGGCCATTCGCTTGATATCATGGGGAGCGCATCAAACTATGTCCACTGCGAGCAAATACAAATTGCAATTTCAAGTTTGGACTTCACGGATAATTTCAAAGTTTTTAGGAAATTAGAGGCCACATGCCACGTACTGCTCTTTTCTCTCCGAAACTCAACTCTTGCAAGCCAGATATGAAAGAAAGAAAAAATCATCAGTCACACCACCAGGATTCGAACCAGGGACCTTGCTATTCGCGAGCAATGCTCTAACATACTGAGCTACAGTATGACTCTTATCCACGGTGATGGTAAATCTATCCTTCTTCGATCAATCCACATCTGGCTTGCATCATACTGGCAACTCACATTTTGAAATTCTCCGTGAAGTCCAAATTTGAAATTGCAATTTGTATTTGCTCGCAGTGGACATAGTTTGATGCGCTCCCCATGATATAAAGCGAATGGCGGAGGGCCCTCTTGATTGGTGTGAGTTGCCAGTATGATGCAAGCCAGATGTGGATTATTTTTACTGGCAATGATTTTTGCGAAATTTTCCTTGAGAACAATTCTCAGCCTGACTGAGTTTTACCCGAATGAAAGTGAAAGAAACCCCATGACAGCCACATCGCCGATGTATGGGTGCAGCAAAGGGTTGTGTTCACGATGTCCATGCCAAAAAATTCTCCGAAAGACTTTACAATGGAGCTAGTCAGTCGAGAATAGTTGAAAAAAATTGTGCGTTTCGGAGCAGTAGACAAAAATGAGCGAGCAAGCTGAAGGTTGTCTTGAACAAGCCTATTTTGTTGGCACTGTGGTTACCCTCGATCCTGTTCTGTGTCATGTTAGTAACGGTTATGGCAAAATCAATGGTCCTACTGGTTGTTTGGTACGTTTCGCCATCGTATTTATTCGAACAAGAATGGGTGAGACATTAGGAAATTAGAGGCCACATGCCACGTGCTGCTCTCCGGAACTCAGCACTTTGTGTGACTGATGATTTTTCTTTCTTTCATATCTGGCTTGCAAGTGCTGAGTTTCGGAGAGAAAAGAGCAGTACGTGGCATGTGGCCTCTGATTTCCTAATACTTTGAAATTCTCCGTGAAGTCCAAATTTGAAATTGCAAGAATGGGTGAGACATTTTCGAAATTTGAGAAAAATCGGAAAGACAAAAAGAGGGGCGATTTACGGTGCTATTCTCCGTATCATGGTTGAAATCGCCCATAACTCACGACAAGTAAGTTAGATCCTGAACTTTGTGTACACGAAGAACGTATGTTGTCGCTACAATTGTTTAGTGTAAAAATTGATAGCCCGAAACACTGGCAAAAAGTTAATAAAAAAATTCACGGTTCGCGTGAGACTCGGCTGAACGCCGAGTTTTTCGCATCAGCCGTGGGAACGCCACCACCCTCTAGGATCAAGGTGCAGATGCAGCGCCTAAACGGTGGGAGGTGAGTGGATCAGACCCACCACCAAGTGGTCAAAGACCGAAATCCCATTAGCTGCATCCATGTTACCCTCGTGACAGGCCACGAAAAAAAAGTTAGCACTTATAATATTACATTTTCGAAAAAAGTGTCAGCACCGACGCAATCCACACAGACAAATAAAGCCAATTTAGTAACCGAACGACAATATTAAAGCCATATTAAAACTCAGTCAGAGTTGTGAAAAGCATGCAAAGTGTGTTGTCAGCCTGATCTGTGTGTGTGTGTGTGCGCGCGTGTGTGTGTGTGTGTGTATGTGTGTGTGTGTGTGTGTTTATGTATGTGTGTGTGTGTGCGTGCGTGCGCGTGTTCTTATACCTATTAGTTCATGTAAAATCACATATTTTTCGTCGGGCCATATCGTTTCGGTTCATCTTTACCAGGGCATCGCGAGGTGCATTTCCAGCCACCAGTACTGTACTATTGGATGGGCAGCCGGCAAGGTCAAACCAGTTGACGAAACCAGGCGCGTGTTTCAGCTGGACACCTGTCGATTTCACCAGCAAACTTACCATGGCATCTTCCACATTGCCCGGTAAACCCTCCGAAATCCGCAGCAGTGCTGCAGTGGAGGCCATCTTCCACAACGTCGTGCGACATGATGTAAGCAAAGCCAGAGGGAAAGCGGGGGTACTCGCTCAGTCCTTTCAGTTTATCTGAATCTACACAGTTCTTGGATTTGGGATGCTTCTCACAGTGTGTGATGTAAGTAGAAAGGTGATCATGACCGGCATAAAATCTCGTCCTCTCCTGGCCGTTCAGCCAAGGTATGAGATACCGAAACACAACGTAAGCGTCATCGTCCACCAGCATCACGTAATCAAAGCGCTCGCTTCTGAGCCGACTCCAGTACAGTGACCAGAGCGTTTTACCTAGCATCTTGTCATACCTATCCCAGAAGGGTCCGACCACCATATCGTTGTTTTTCAGAGACTCATGTCGCAGCTTCTCCGTGATGGTGGCGTTGGTTGACCTTCCTGTCATGAACAAGCACTTCACTGCAGCTTGACTGGATCCATTCTGCTCCTCGATTTCCATCATCCGGGAAGGATGCCACAGGCCTGCAGTTGCGCATTTGTTGAACCAAAGGGAACGCAACAGAGCACGCTCCTGGAAGTACGCAGGGCCACTCTTCACCATTATCAGAATGGACACGCTCGACTTCGCATACCCGGAAAACCTTTCTTGTGTATCCGTCAGGCCAGGTGGTGGATGCCAATTCCATGTGCCCGTCTTGGCGAAATTATTATTTGAGCTGTCGTGGTCGCTATCACTACTAGTTCTGATACGACCATGTAATTCTAGCTTGGGAACTTCTTGTATAGTGCTAACTGGACCGGGAGGCCCCTGTCCAGATATCACGATGCGGGCGTGCTGCACGGCTACGAAGGAAAACCACCCGAACGCGTATGTACTAGTAATGCCCCTGCAAAGACTGGATCCGAGTGGACCTAGAAGTCGGTGCGTTGTCTGAGACTACTAGCTAGCTGTCATTAGGCACTTGCAAGCCCATTTGGCTCCGCTCTGGCCATAGTGAAGCACAGTATCCGTTGGGTAGGCAACTCATGATGTCATATCACATGATCACTCCTGTATAGTATTCATTTGTACAGGTGTACCCTCGTTAGCACGACGACATCCGTTACAAGTTCTTGCTCTCCTGCTCCGCGCCCTTCCACTCCCCATTTTGTTTCCTTTGGTGCACATGTGCAGCTGTGATGCCGAGACCCTTGGTCGGCTGAGCCTCACAGGTCCCACCCACTCCGTCCTGCTGGATATGTACCATTGTGTCGAGTTCTCCTCCTAATTTTAGTTCATCATGCAGTGAGTGTTCAATAGTAAAAAAATAAAAAAATAAAAAAAATAAACAAGCCGAACCATATTAGTATAGACAATGCTCAAAGACCCCTGATGGCTGAAACGTGTACATTCGTGTCCGGATAGAAGATAATACTCGATACAAGACAAAGAATTCGCACCCCCCTCCCCCCCCCCCCCCCCCCCCCCTCCCCCAGTGTCTACTAAGGAGGGTAGGCCTGTACTTGGTCAGGTTCTCTTTGTCTGACTTCTTGTCAGGGACTCAGGGAAGTGATTGGTTGTATCCTCATATGACTCTGCGATGCCCTGCTGTACTGCAGACGGGTGCTCGACCCCCGTTGGAAATGTATGCAACAGTGCCCACCCTCTTGACCAGGGATCGCACAAATCCTGAGAGTTTTGATGGGCCTGTACGACTCCTGGCTCTTGACCTTTGGTCGGTGTATGAGATGCACGAACAGTTTTCGTAGGATGAGTGCTTTTCATGTAGTACTGAATGCGGTAAGTAGGACTCACCCATCTTCCCCTCCCCACCTGGATCTACTCGAAGAGTGGCGGAGGTAGGGACGCTCTGGTGGGCTTTTACGGTACTAGTGGAAGAGGTTAGAGCATGTTGATTGTGAGGAGCCTGAACCTTGCTCTTATCTCTCGGGTGTATTCCCATGAATTCCCTGCCAAATATCCATCGGTATGGCGCTGTGGCATGGAAAGCTATGGGCATGCCAATTCTCATTGCTTGCCATCCTTGTCACTGCCTTTTCACATTATCATTTACTTCGTCACCTGCAAAATAGTGGTTGCGACTTTGTCACGTACCCGTGGTTTTTATCTTCTCTGCCCCGGTATTGTCCAGGAAGGAAGTTCACGGAGTACGGGCGCAACCGCAGCTGCATCCACCGCTCCATGGTGCTGTCATCGGAGTGCGATGCGCTGCATCTGGGCCAGCCGATACGCATAGCCGGGCGAAGCAGCGAGCGTCATTTGCGAGGTGGGTATTGAGTACTCAGTAACCCCCTGCACAATCGGTGTGTTTAGAACAATAACCAATAGCCGCCAGCGACTGGTTAAAAATCACGTAGCCAATCTTGGACAATCCACTTGTCCAGGCAAGAAGGCGGCAATGCCTGTTCATTCTGGCGACGTAAAATAAAAATAATATACCAACCAACCAACGAACAAAAACACGGCTCGCATGAGACTCGGCTGGAAGCCGAGTTTTGCGCATGCGTAGGAAGCCCCCCCCAAGAATCATGGCGCAGATGCAGCTCCTACGGGTGGGAGGTGAGTAGATCACACCCACCAATTTGCAAAATGATATGTAGAGCGGGTAAGTGATAATTTAAAAGATGCAATGACTCATGCAATGACTCATGCAATGATTCATGCAATTCTGTGCTACTGCATGTACATGACTTGCTCTCATCATGCACATAAAAAAGTGGCGCTCGTACTCTGAAGGGTGACTTATTTATTTTGAAAGGGGGCGGTCAACAGGTGAAGGAGGGCGCAGCGACCCGCTGTGTCGCTTTGGCGAGAACCCTGCTATTCACTGTCCTTCTCGAGCTGCTAATCCAAGCTGACAATTCCCACTGCCACTGGTTGTGTACGCTGTACAGATACTGCAAGCATAACCGACATACAGCTGGTGGACGTTGCAGAAGTCAGCCTGGGCTACCCGTCCGGTGCACGTAAGTATGACCGCATATCTCGAATATCCATCACCCTGATTATCCTAGCACCTCGAATATCCAAGTACTTCAGCTATCCATGCACCTCGATTATCCATGCACCTCTATTATCCAATGCGTCCAATCCCTGATTTTCCTAGCATCTTTCTTACGCCATTATCTGAATACTGTAATTTCACAAATTTTCGATGCACTTTTATTTTCGGTACTTTCTGTGCATCTGTTTCATACCTAAAATTTCAATACACCGAACAAACACTAACACACATGATTCAATAGGGAACTGCTTCCCTGTACCGAAAATTTCTGTTCACCTAACCTGGCCTTTTGCCCTCATGCCGAAAATATTGAGCACCTAAAATTTCTGAAATTCGAGTATCCAAAAAACAGTTACCCTCTCCCCCCCCCCCCCCCCCCCCTTACCGATTACCTAACCACCTCAGTTATTCAATTCCTGATTATCCAAACACATCCACCATCCAATCCCTGATTATCCAAACACCCCGTTGTTCAATCCCTGATTATCCGAACACCTCAGTTTTCTGACCATGATTATTCAAGTGCCTTGTTTGTATGTGTATGTGTGCACGTGTGTGTGTGTGTGTGTGTGTGTGTGTGTGTGTGTGTGTGTGTGTGTGTGCATGTGTTTGTATGTGCGTGTGTGCGCGTGCGTGTGTGTGCGTGTGCACTGTGTGTCCTTGCATGTGTGTGTGTGTACGTGTGTGTGTGTGTGTACACACTGTTTGTGCTTGCATGCGTGTGTGTGTGTGTGTGTATATATGTGTGTGTGTGTGTGTGTGTGTGTGTGTGTGTGTTTGTGTGTGTGTTTGTGTGCGCGTGCGTGTGTGTGTGTATGTTTGCACGCAGTGATGGGCCTATCGGAGGGTGCAGATGCCCCCGTCATTAAACTGGCAACCACCAGCCGCTCCCTTCTCCTCGGTCTAGAGTCGCGTGAGGACCAGAAACTGTAAGTCACTCACATGAGAGTTTACTGGTTATAGCAGGTAGGCACCGGCGGATTCTGCCGGCAGAAAAATTGGCAGAATTCGGTACTTTTTCTGGTAAGTTTCATGCATGTTTGGTATGTGGATAAAGAAATGGAGTAGAATTCGAGGAATTGCCTGCCATAAGGTTTGTATGGTTCTGCCAATTTCACTGCTTTTCGAGGAGAATCTGCCACCTTTTCGAGCATAATCCGCCGGTGCCGAATACCAGGGGCATATCTGGTCCCCCTTTTAGAGGGCGCATGGCCGTTGTGCTTGTTCATACGGGTAGAATGTCTGGTGCACGTCAACATGGTCTTTACAGTAAAACCTGTGACTAACGACCACCCCTTGGGGCCAGAGAAAGCGGTCTTTAGTGGCAGGTGGTCCTAAGTTAGAGGTTTGCACCGCATCGCACAACCATAATAGTTATATGAATGTTAGACCGTCCGTACCTGGCAAAGTGGTCATAGTAGAGTAAAACCTGTCAAGGCGACCATTCAGAAAAGGCGACCACCTGCCCCAGAAGACCACTGCTACCAGGACCAAGGGATGCTATTTCCAGTCAAATGACCCTGGGTAAGGAGACGACGTTTTGAATGTCCCTTGAGTGGTCGTCTTAGACAGGTACTAGGTTTCACTGTACCAGGCCGGTCGCTATTCACGGTGGTCTTTAGTTACAGGTGTTACCGTATACTGTAAAAGCAGAATTTTTCAGTGGTGTTTTATTTTCGGTAACTTCGGTGCCGACAATTTTTACCGAAAATAAAACGCACCGAAAATGTCGGCATAGTACTAGTACACTTACCTGGAACGCGGGTTTACTGAAAATTTCCCTCCGCCGAACCGCCGATTTTGGAGAATACCGAAAATATTACACCACCGAAAATTTCTGCTTTTACAGTACGTAGTGAAATGTCTAAGCTGGTAGTGTTCCAGTACTCACTAGTTGAGGTACATGTACTAGTAATGGAAATGGGAGAAGTCAGAAGAAATCATCTGACGTCACGACTCGAACCAGAGATACTCGCTTATGGCCTAGTTGTGTTGCTCAGCACAATTGTATGTAACGCGGGCATGCTAGCTTCAGTACTGTTGGTCGCCGAAGAACTGGGGGGGGGGGGGGCAGCCTCCTAACCTAGACCGTTCTTACTTTCATGTGTTACAACCAATGCACAGTTGAGTCGCCCTGTACTCGTATACATTGGAATGCTGTGCTTGGTGAAATTCTAAGCTACAGAAAACTCTCCACGTCCATGCACTCTAAAGCCGACCATTGCTACCCTCGGTAGCCATTACTCACACCAATAATCTCAAACAACGAACGGGGTCACGGGTAAAAGATCTATGAGTGTTATGTATTTTAGAAACAACCGAAGGGCATCATCGTTCACAGTTTTATTGATACTCTAAGCTGGCCGTTCTCCGGTGCTCCGTTCTTCGGCGCCCAGCAGTACTGTGTTGATCTGGAGAGCTGAGATGCGAAACCCCTTAAATCCATCACTTTTCGGACAATGGCCAAAAACGGATTCATTCTATGTGTGGTTTTGTAATAAATTTGTATCTAAATCCATATTTGGGGTTCCAGTTTTGAAATGGTTCTAGTCAGATTTTGAATGTGAAATTTGGCCTGGTGGTGCCCCCCCAGACCTCTTCATTACACTGAGGTGAAAATCTGATTTTCTCAAATTTGTCGCTTCTCGGGTTTTGTATCTCAGCTCTTCATGCACTCTTGGTGTGATACTACGGGTTTTCACTGTTCTGCTGCTGCTACTGCAGGTGGCTGGAGGGTGTGCGCGCAGCGGTACATGTCACCAAGCGTGCAGTGTTCATTGCTGAGGCCAGTGGAGAGTCATGGCGTCAGGAAAACCAGAGCATTATGACCCGCCGCAGCAAGGAGAGAGCACGGCGCATGCTTGGCTACAGTCTCGCCAAGGACAAGTGGAGTGAGCCGATTGCATCGCCACCGCCAGCTTCGTCACGTAGGCACTAGCGTGTGTGTGTGTGGGAGGGGGGGGGGGGGGGGGAGGGTGCGTGTGTGTTTGTGTATGTGCTTGTGTGTGTGCATGCATGCATAATATTATGTGCGTTTGTGTGTACATCCGTGTGAACATGTGTATTAATAATGTGTGTGTCTGTGCACTCGTGTAAGTCCGCATGTGTCTGTGGTGCGTATGTGCCTATGTCTCTTCTTGCTCATGCATGTATGTGCATTATGGCACTGCGTTCCTACGTATCTGTGTGTGCATGTGTTTGGGGTGTGTGAATGTACCTGGAGAAGGCTGTACATTGCTATGTACTTAGTAACTGACTGTTGTTTATCTATGCATATACATGTACATGTGCTGACAAGCTAAGTGCCAGGCACCAGATAAACACTGTAGTTTTTAACCCGACTGCAATAGTTCTCATTTCAGTTTTATCGTGACCTGACTTCCCTAACTTTAACACACACACACACACACACACACACAAACACACACACGCACGCACACACACACACACACACACCACTCTCTCTTGCTGCCCTAGGCATGCCCAATCAGCCACAGCAGCAGCAGTCACAATCGGCACGTCGCACAAGTGGTTCAACACCGGAAGGAGGCCAGCAGCAGCCGCATCATCATCAACATCAGAGGCAGCAGCACGGCAGCAGCACGACCGCCGCTGTGTCCTACGACCGCACGTCCGTCTCCAGCGACACGGACAGTGTTCCCAGCGTACCGCAGAACAGTGCCACAAACAGCGGATGCCCCTCGCCGCTGCCTGCACGTCGCACAGCAGCCTACCCACCGCCGTCAGCTAACAACAGCAGCAATGGCAACAATAACAACAACAGCAGTAGAAGCTCGTCGTCCCGGCCCGTGCACACCGATCTTGCTCAGGCCGTTGTGGAGATGGAAATGAGCGATGTGGCGGCCAACGGACAGAAGCAGAAGTGGACGGTGCGCGCAACCTCCAGCATGCCCCAGTCGCCACCGCGGAAAGTCAACAGCCCCGCCGCCGACTCTGAGCATCATCATCATCAGCAGCAGCAACAACAGCATCAGCAGCAAATGCACGCCACACGTGTATCGCCGCGTGACTACACCCCGTCGCCTAGTCACATGCACATTGGTGGTCTTGACTCTGATGACGGTGCGGCTGCGACTGCTGGTGGTGATGACATTGGTGGTGGAGACCGGGCAGCATCAGCAGCAGCGGGAGCACTCTGGCCGACGGACGGCAGGCGGCCACAGAGACCGCCGCGTCGCAAGCCAGGCCCGCCTCGTCCTCCGCCGCCTGCCATTGTGCGCGCATCACCGCCGGTGCCCATCGACGAGACGCTCGACGAGTCGGCCTACATCTCAAAGCTTGCCGCCGACATACCCGTTGCTCCCCTCCAGCGTGACAGCGCGCAGCAACGCTCCTCCGGTCGCCGCCAGCGATCACCGGTGACGAAAGACTCCTCCTCGGCAATCCTGAGCCCGACGGATGCACCGGCAGCGATGGGGCCGACTGGACCCACGTCGCTGATACGTGCCGCTCAGCTGCGCCTCTCGGGTCGTCGCTCTCCCAAACCAGCAGCTCCTGCCAGGGGTGCATCCCCCGCTGCAGCTGCTTCTGCCAGAGGTGCGTCCCCCGCTGCTGCTGCTGCGGCGGCGTCGGTGACGGGCTATCGGAACTCTCCACAGCGGGGCGAAGCAGCAACAGCAGGTACGCCGACGTCACCGCTAGCCTACCCACAGCCTGTAGCGTGCATACCGAGCGATGACTACGGGCATGCAGCAGCACAGACGGCTCGACCACTGGAGCTTGCAGCTTCTCCGTTACACCAAGCCAATGCTGCTGCTGCTGCTGCTGCTGCTGCTGCTGCTGCGCCGTCCGATGAGATGGAGTATGCCACGGAGGATGATTGAGCAGAGGACACGCCGTGTACTGCCATCAACGTGTGTGTTTTCCGGTGAGATCCAGTGTATTGACTCAAAACTGACTTCTGAGACGGACTAATGCTAATAAACTGCTAATCACCTGTGCCTTCAGTGTCAGACCAGTGATAGTGACGACCTCTTCATCCATTCTCGCAATGCAGCGTAACAAAGAGCTTTGTTTTCTTGTTATTTCTCTTTCTGACCACGACTACAATGTAGTAGCCGCTTAGAAGTGTCTTTTTTCAAGTGACCTTGCCCTGTTGAGTTTCGGCTACATGTGCATGCGGTATGGTTATGCGGTGATGTTTGCCGTGTGTGTGTGTGTGTGTGTGTGTGTGTGTGCGCGCGCGTGCGTGCGTGCATACATGCGTGCGTGTGTGCATGTATGTTGTAAGACTGTGATCGGGGTTTGATGACATGATCGAACTCGGCTTGCATGTTATGGTATCTGGCACATGTGTTCGTGCTTCCAAGCTGAACCTAGATCATCAGATCTAAGCTTAAGGAGTCTTTTGGCTACTTCGAAGTAACAACCCATGCACTAGGGCTGAAATGGTTAGTGCAGTACCCAGGCGCATGCCCCGTATGGGTTCCTGGGTGCCCGGAACCCCCCCTTTTTCGCTCAAAATGCAGGATTTTGCTTCATTTTTGAAATTTTTTTGGGGGAGGCCCCGGAACCCCCTCTTGAAGGGCACCGACGCACGCGCCCGGTACCTTCATTTTCACTATACATGTACATTGTATTTGTACATGTGCGTATTAAAAGATGTTGAGCTGTGTTTCGCATGAGAACTGTTCAAGACAATGGCTACAGTAGAGTCGCGTGCTGGAGAACGTGGAGCCCAAGAACGTCCAGCCTGAAACACTAAGAACGCCACAGCCTACATTATGATCCAGTACGGATTGTTTCTAAGACCGTGCTATGAGAATGCAGCCAGATATCTGAAAAATAAGAACGCCTTGGAAGCAACGGTCTTAGGCTTGCGACTCTACTGTGCATTGTGAGTGGTGCAATGGATGCATGACAAGGTGATGTTGTAGTCGCACAGCATACAAAATCAAAATACTCTAAATTTCAGAAATTTTCGGTGCTCAATATTTTCGGTATGAGGGCAAAAGGCCAGGGTAGGTGAACAGAATTTTTAGGTACAGAGATGCAGTTATGTGTGTTAGTGTTTGTTCGGTGTATTGAAACAGATACACCGAAAGTACCGAAAATTTGTGAAATTTACACATTATTAATGTTGAACCATAGGCCATGCAGCTCAGGATATTCTGAGCAAATGATAACATCAAGAGTGCATAACTCCGGGAAGGTTACTTATAATGGACTCTTGATAACACGAATCCACTCATGCATGCATCCACTCAGTACATGTTACCATGGTTACTGGGGTGAGTGGTTTTGTATGTGAGGTCAGAGGGGGTGCATGAAAGTAGGATACAGTCAAACCTCGCCTAAAACCGCACACATCCGTTTTCCGCAAAATTTAATAAATCCGGATCATCGAACACACATACAGTATGTATGCATGACATACATACTGTATGTATGCATGACATACATGTACATGTACACTGTGTGCTGTAAATCGCTAACCAACGATTTTCTTCCGGATGGCGGGGGATCCGGATGAAAGAGGACCGGATAAGCGAGGTCTGACTGTGCCAGTATTCCTTAAACTTTTTTAGTTAAAGGTTGTGCCCGTTTGGTTTATCCACGAACGATAGCTGTGTGGGAAAGCCATGGCTTCCAGCAGCTAGGGAGTAGTACAAGAGCCAAAACATACAATGCTATCGTTCATGTACTGTAAAAGCCACAATACATGTATATAATAATAATAATTATTATTATGCAGAAATCGATACAGTCATACACTGTTCTATTGAGCGTTGAGAATGCGTGAGAATCGTTACCTTTGGTAGATCTACAAAACCAGTCAATTTTGGGAAATCGTACAAAAAGACTAGAATGGGATACGGAGCTTGGGTTGGCTGTGACTCAGAGTTTCACGCCTGTGGCGTCTGAGTCACAGCCAACCCAAGCTCCGTATCCCATTCTATTCTTTTTGTATGAAGCTCTGCACCCCGCCCGGTGCATTGAGCACTCTTTCGAGGACCACACCCAACTTTCCGTGTGTAATAATTATAGCGCCTTGTTAGAATAATGACTTTTACAGTACCGGTGCTCGTACTCTCTGGTTTCCGGCTTCCAAGTGCATTCTCTGAGACGTCGGATGTGGTAAACCCTAAAGTTTTTGAAGCTTCCGCGTTTGCGCGTGAAATCGTTCAAACCAAACCGTAGGAAAGCTCACATCCAATCAGCTTGATCGCCTGGACAAGCCACAGAATGAGAAGACTACAAAATATTTACAGTAGCGAGTTTTGCCCTTGATCAGATCGAAAGTGGTGCACACGTGCCAACAAAGAGACTTGCAACATGCCGACGGGGCACCACAGCCTAGGAGGACAGAATCAGTAGACTGTGCCTTCGACAACTCACTCACAACAAGAACGGAAGGGTATCTTAGCTCAGACGGGCATGAGGCTGGAGGTACTTCATCAAAGTATATGTTAGAACTAATCGAGCAAGCAAGGGAGGCGTTAGTAGCTACAGGGGTTTGCAACAATGCTGCTAGCAAGTTAAATGGATGCGCAGGGGGAAACGGCAAGTATAACAGATAATTCGAATAGGAAGAGTGAGGCGAGAAGGAAGAGATGCTGCAGTGAGCGCTGTGCGTGTGCAACAACACAGCAGTGTGACGGAGTAAGGCCAGAAAAGAGGGGAAAGCAGAAACCAGAGCCACGCCGAAGAAAGTCGGGGGGGGGGGGGGGGGGCGAGGCGACGAAACCTATGCTGTCGAATGCAAAGAGAGAGGCAAAAAAGGCATAAAAGAGATGGATGTGCAGTATATAAACACGGAGTAGAAGTGCTGTTCCGTCGCCCTCTTTTCTCTAGATAAGTCGTTCCTGGACCAGGGATACGTCCAAATATAATAAGTTGCGTTAAAGTAAATATTAGACAGCACAAGGAGCCGGCCGGAGCAGCCCGTACAGTGCTCGGCGTGCGGCACAATCAAACGCATAACAGCAGCAGCAGTAGTAAGTGGGACGACATAGCAACAACATAAGGGTGCACACGGGACAAGGGACCAGAAGTCAGCGACACACATAGGTTAGTGAAGCCACGCAAGGGAGACACGCGCAGACACACACACACACACATGCAAGAAAGGAAAGAAAAAATAGAAAACACACCCGGGGTGAAGCAGAAGGTACGATGCGTTTAGCGTGAATGGTGACAGAGCGCTGTTGCATCACAAACACGGCAGAGAAGCAGGCGCAAGACTGCACATAGAGCCCACTGAGCAAATTGGGTTCGGACTACATGGCTCCAAAAGACCACTGCAGGCCAGGGATGACCGCTGGAGGAGCGCAAGACTAAATGCCCAGCAAGCCGGGACAACAGGAACGAAGTTTCAGGATCAACATTGTGATTCACGGGCTGCCAAATGTCTGACACTTGCCGTTCAATCTTCAGGGGGGGGGGGGGGGGGGGGCAATAATAAATAGAATGAAAGTTTGTTGCGGGCATTGGTGCCGGTGCTGCGCGACATCAGGTCGACCAGTGCACACTACTCAAGAAGCCGGGGCTACTGTACAGCTCCCACACGCACTGGCAGATCACGGCGACGAGGGTTCAGAATGCCCCACCGAGTAGCAACCACACTGGAGCAGCACTCGACAGCCGCACACACACATGCAGCGAGTCGTAATCCACCATCAAACGGCGCCGCCGAGTAGCCAGCCTACTAGCCAATGCCACACGGCAACGCATCAGCATCATCATCAACGCACTCAAGCACAGGGGCATGCCAGTAATTACAAGTTCCAAGCAGACGAGGCAAGACAAGACACGAGAGTGTCGCCAAGTCGGTCTTGCCACACCAACAACGCACCTGGACAACATGTCTATCCTGTAGAGAGCTGCGGCATGGGACGGCATCGGCCTGGATCCAAGCAATACCGTTGGAAACGCCAGTTGTAACTCTTTGCAGCTGGCATCAGGCCTATTGCCAGTTCGGAGCTCATAAACTGCACAAATTTGACGAGCGAGCGCAAGGTTGCAGAATGACCAGATGGTATCTAGCATGCGGTGATAGTGAAGGACAGCAGCAGGTGGGGCGCATACGCACCAGGTGAACAGCGTGGATATCCTCAAAATATGACAGCACAAACACACCGACTCGACGACTCAGGCCACGACTGGTCCACTGCTGACGTGGGTGGGTGGCTCGGCGGATGCATACGCCGCTGGACCGGGACCTGTGCTCCAGGCGCCCAGCGGTGCAACGTTCTGCGGGGATGACGGAGAGGACGGCGTCGAGGCTCCACTGATGCCCAGCAGTGCAACCTGCTCGGCAAGGTTACCCGACGAACCAGCGAGACCAGCACCGGCAGCAGTGGCCGTGGCTGGGGATGTTGCATTGCTCTGCGCGCCTACCCCCGTGCTGCCGTTGGACGCATCACTGCTACTGCAGACCAATGGTGGGTAGCCGCCGTTCAGCGGACAGCCTACGTCAGAGTTGTCCGGAGACAGCGGCATGGTCCGCTTGCCAAGGATCTACAACAACATTGCGACACAAGGAAACAGATGACTCGACTTCAGAGCAGCAGTTACCGTATTTTCTCGAGGATAAGTCGCACCCAGATTTTTTTGTCAGGGTGAATTTTGTACACTGTGTCACGTCACATGACCTTCCGAAGCAGACTGAAAGGGACTACGCTAACGCCCCTGCTACCCATTCAACATGCGTCATGATCTGTAGGGAATTATTCACCAATGAAAATGCGCCGCTTGTTATTAGCTCCATTTATGAATATGGGCAATAGAGTAAGAATACAGACCCTTCAGTGCTGCCCCTGACACATTGCATCAACAACAATTACTCCAGTCTCAGCAAGAGTAAGTAAGCTCCCAAGAGTGTGCAACATATGATATGGGGTCTCCGATGGCGACAACCCAAATAATGTGTTTCACATACGTTTCGTCGTACTACTGTTGTGGACATGGAAATTCGGTCGCACGTCTAGCGGCCCCAGGGTGCTGGCCATGCAGCCGTGGATAAGCGGTACACACATATGTCATGCATTTTATGCGCTGCAGCGCGCTAGTCGCAAAGGATCAACATGTGCCCTGCACGCAGCGGTCTGTATGCGCTGAGGGTGCCGGCCCCGGTCAACCGACCGGATTTCCATGTCCACGACAGTACATGTACTTAGGATAGTGTGCGCAAACCGAATATCTCAGGGTTCTCGCCAAAGCGACATAGCAGGGCGCTGCACCCTCCTTCACTTTTCACCGCCCCCTTTCAAAAATGAATGCGCCACCTTTTATATGCATGATTAGTGGCACAGAATAAAATAGCAGAGGTAAAATCTCAATTTTTGGGTCTGATGATCCCCACCACCTAAACTTGTGTTCTGGCTATAACCCTGATAGCCGCTATGATCATGCCAGGGAGTTGCATAAGCGGAGGTAGTGTTATTTTTAGTACTCTGTAGTTCGCTAAAACGGTAACACTACACCAGCTTCGCCATGCCTCACAGAAAGGAAATCAGCAGAGCGAGTTTCTGTCAGGGGGTGTTATTTTTAGTACTCCGTTGCTGGCTAAAAACGGGAACACTACACCAGTTTCCGTATTGCCTCATAGAAAGGATGTCAGGAATTGCCCACTTTTGGGAGCGTATGTACTCTTGGGGCGCGTTTGGTTGGTACGAAGTAGAACAGGATTCACCAGAACAGCGCGTTTGGTTGGGACTGCACCTGTTCTGGGTCGGCAGAACATGTTCTGCTTGCTCCGGCCTCGAGGCCGGAGCAGAACCGAGCAGTTTCACTTTTTCACAGTGAAACTTGGCGGGAGCATCGATTTTGGTCCCAAATGATCACGTGCATACGCGTTTGGGTTGGACTCGTCGTACCGTACACAGTGACCATGGTGACCCATACACATTTTGAAGAATGCACCAAGTTTGGCATATTTTTCACAAAATATGCTCTGTTTCTGGAGTACCGTTTGGTTGGCATGAGGCTGCTCCATGTGCACCAGCTGTTCGATCCCGTTCTAGATCGTACCAACCAAACGCACCCTTGGTCTCAGTAATGACATTTATAGTGCACGGATGCAGCCCTCACCTGCTCCGTAATGTCGTTTCCCGTGTTGGGGTCGCGTATCACGATTTTGGTGGCTGAGCGTCTTGCCGGTGCTGCTGGTGGGGGCACTTGCTGATACATGCCCATTGCCGGTGGTGCGGCAAACGCTTGCTGTGACACTGCTGCTGCCGCCGCCGCTGCAGCGTTGGCCTGCTGTGCCGGTACCATGGCGGCGGGCACAGACGGCTGAGAGCTGACCGGGCGCATGTCCCCGGTGCCCATCGCCTGCGTCGGCATGGCGGCGGAGTCCGGCACGGGCATGGGCGCCCCCATGGGGACGGGCGGGAAGGGCCGGACCGGGGGGAAGTAGCCCATCATGTTGGGTGCGGGCGGGGGCGGCATCATCATATTCGGCAAGAAGTAGGGCATGTTGGCAGGCAGCGGGAGTAGCGGGTTGCCAACGGGCTGCGGTGGTAGCATGGGAAAGCCGGCAGCGGCGTTGAGAGCCACCTGGGGCGATGGGATGACATGCGACATGGTGCTGGCGGTGGTAGAGACGACTGCCGACGGTGCAGTGCTGGCGGCGCCAAGGACAAGGCCGTTGTTGTTGTTGTGCGGCTGCTGCTGGTGGAAGTGCTGGTGGTTACTGTTGGTGTGGCTTGTAACCACTGGCTCGACTGTGGCGTGACCGTTCACAGACACGCTGCTCTCTGCTGAAGTAGCGGTCGCAGTGGTAGTGTGGTCTGAGCCGGCGGCTGCGGTGGATGTGACGTTCTTTGCCTGTGCATCCCGCGCCGCAATCTACAGATCAGGAGAAGAAGAAGAGACCGGACGGAACAATAGAGCAGGCACAGAATGTTGCAATGTGTACAAAACGTGCAGGTGCTGAGTCACTTTGTCTAAATGTACCAGAGGTCAATGGTCGTATAATAATAACTGTAAGAGCATGTTTGATTGGTAGGATCGGGATCCTGATCCACCGGATTCGCAACCTTTCGATTGGTCGAATCCGGATCCTTCGGATTTGGATCCGGCCAACCCACCTCGGGGAGCATATTCACATAAAGACGAGTAATGTTACTGGAACCAGTTGGGAGGCATCAGCTTTGTAATTCAACCCAGAACAGCTGTACCACGAATGATGCCCATGTGCTTGACTAAGGGCTGTCCTAGTACAAATGTACCACAACGGATCCTCGTATGCTTGACTGAGGGATGCTCATGTGCTTGAGGCTCCAGTGGAGCATCCAGGAGAACGCATGCATGCTACAAGAAAACATATAGGTCTACCCTCGTTAGCAGACAGCCCATGGGGGGGGTCAATATCTTGTAGTGTTGAAACGAATAATCGAATAATCGAATAATTTAGAATATTCGTGGGGTGAACGAATAATCGAATAGTCGTAGGAATTATCAGAAATCGAAAAAAAAAAAAAAAAAAAAAAAAAAGGTCTATGCTCAGTGCTGACCCTGCTGATATTTGCACGGCGTAGATCTGCTCGTAGTATATCTTCTGAATCTCCTCTCCACCAAGTTTTAATCTCCCATCGGTATCTAGTAATACTTCTGTTCTTTCCATAAGAGGGAAACATGGATGCAGTGGATGTGATTTTCGGTCTTTGACCACTTTCGACCAAGACCCTATGCAGAGTTGGATCAGGCGTTGCACACTCTGGGGGGTTATGTATGTACTCTTGGCGGTACCGGTTTTGCACCTCCACATAACAAAATCCGATATTAATCAGCAAAAAATTTAAAAAAAACTACTCAAAAAGTGCTGAAAAAGTGTTGAAAAATGCCATCATGCGTATGATAGAATATAGATTATTCGTTCGATGGAGGGCGAAATTATTCGATAGATTATTCGTTCGAAGAATCCGTGTTCGGTTTAAACACTAATATCTTGTATTATAATGAGTTTTATCTACCATCAGGACTTGCATGCACAACTACGTTTCAGGTGTCGGGGTTGGATCGTTTTCTACTAATGAGATTTGCCTTGTAACCGATGTCGTACTAACAAGGGTGGACCTGTACACACATGCTACTAACTAAGGAGATGGGTCTCCAACATGAAACAGGTTGGGCACAGCACTGGAACTGGAACCTAAAGGTGAAATTCAAACCATACCTTGTTGAGCTCGACTTCAATGTCGTAGATCTCATTCAGCATAGTGTTTTTACTCTTCAACTTCATCATCTACAGTAGAATGGTAAACACACACACGGACACAAACATACAGATAATACAGACAATGAGCGGGGAGGAACGACTACAGGAGACAAAGCAAGCAAAAAACAAGGGGGAGAGACGGAACCCAGAGTTCGTGCTAATTAAATTGCGGTAAACAGGCAAAAAGAAATGCACTCGCATCTTGTCACATATGCAGAAACACCAAGACATAGAGTATCACGAAAATTCTTCTCGAGGATGCCAGCTATGCTCAATGACAGCCGGCCTAGTGAATAAATGTGTGGCATGTCAGTGTCAGCATGGGTAGGGTTCCATAGCAAACACAGCAAAGCCGCGAGGGTGGATTTCATTGACCAACATAGTAGCAGCCGTGGTCAAAGAACCCCGATACATGTGCCGAGAGCAGCGCCAAGGCTCACGCGGCCCTCGAATGGGTTTTCGGACCCTACATGACGTAATTGAAATGGCCATGCGGCGCCACTTTTGTCTCGCAGGTCGGATTTCTATGGGCACGCATGTACAAGACAGCAAACAGGGAACTGATGTAGACAGCGGTACAAACCTGTGTTGCATCTAGGCGAGTGCCTTTGGCCTTGGCCTCCTCCAGTTTGTAGATCTCCTTCACTTTACGCTGGAGGTGCTTGAGTCTAGTACGCATAGTGTCGACATTGCTGGTAGACGCAGCGTTTCTAGAATATGCGAAAACACACACATTTAAAAACAGTAATTTTACTAGTGCAAAGCGATGAGCGCCATGGAATACATCAAAATAGATAAGTGACAATCAAAAAGCAGAACATTCTGCCGGTGAATAGTTTCGTCAGACTCCAAAGAAAGTGAGGCCATCCGGTTGAGAAACCAGGGACCAAAAACAAACTGAAAGGCTTAACAAATCATTGTCAGTGAAGCGCTAAATTAAGTCCGATAGCTTCTTGGACGAAACAGACAGGATTTAATTCCCAAGGAATAAGTCTGAGTTTGCAACGTGCATAATCTCCACCTTTATGATAAAAATTTGCACAAGTCATGGCTATCCCCACAGATACAAAGCATATTTACAAAATCACGTTCCGCGGCATGCGACAATGATTTGAAAGCCGCGCACTGTCGTAAACAGTTGCAAGGCCACTGTCGGAGAAGTTGACAAAAATAAAACTCTTGCGACGCACATCAACGGAGTACAGTTTACTAGGCTAAGTGCATGTGCAGCGCCGAGTTTACTTCAGTGGTGCATGTGCAGTGCCTCTGCATGTACTATGCACTGCCTTTGGATGTCGCAGAAACCAAAAAAATATTGTGAATCGCGTGTGCCGATCGCAGCGCGTTGCAAGTGCCACACATCACACCCAAAAAGTGGTATCGTGAATCAGGTCCGGGAGAGCTGCCTGCACCTTCCAAATATGGGACAAGTCAGTCCCCCCAGAATGTTGTCATTTGTGGTACAGTGATCCATATATAGACTATAGTAAAACCTGTCAGTGTGACTACTCTGATAAGGCGACCACCTGCCCCAGCGGACCACTGCAACCAGGACCAAGACCGCAAGAGATGATATTTCCAGCCAAATGACCCTGGATAAGGCGACCACCTGCCAACAGGGTCCACATTTGGAATGTCCACTGAGCAGACAGCTTAGACAGGTCTCACTGCACGTGCAAACGGCACACAAACATCCAAGAGGCTAAAACGTGGAACAGTGGGAAAGATACCCAGGGATAGATGGACAAAGGTACACAAGGGAGGAAGACAGGTACAGTTGTGGCAAGTGAAATCCGACACTTGCCAGAGGGGACAGCGCCACAAATGGACATCAATGATGTAATGCACTGCACCAAATTTGTACTATAGAGCCGTATGCATCCCAAACAGATCGAAAGGTCACAGCGTAGATACACAAAGTTCACAAACATAGTACACATAAGGAGTATTGGTATCCAATCCCCATTCATTTTTGCCAGCACCTTTTGAACCTTGACTGTGATGAGTACGAGTTTTGTCATCAGACAGATAAAGTTGTATGTAACACATGTACTGTATGTACGCAGGGCTGCAAGGGCTGCAGACTGCGTGGTGCAGTCCCTTATGCCAAGTGTCGGATTTCACTTGCCACAACTGTAGATACCAAATATCACAACAGCAATACACACATGGTCAACAAATGATTATGTAACTCACCCCTGCTTAGGTGCATCCGCAGCATTCTGGCCATTCACGAGCTGTACAACACAAAGGAACGGTGAAGCAAAGATGCACATTTCCCAGCAAGTCCTGTTACATAAGTGTGTTTGACGACGCTATCACAAAGCACTGATTGTTCAACAAAAGCAATGCAAAACCTCTGCAGGTAGTACAGAAGACTACAAATTGAGAGTAATATTACTCCATACATGGGCTTCTTGAGCCAGGTCAAAGCGTCATATACTGCTAAACATTCCACACACCTCCACACTTAGCACCAATTGTTCAGTCCCAGATATTGTGAATTAAGGCTGGAATTTGAGTACCGTAAAGTCTTGTATAAAGGCCGCGGCTTCTCTGACTTTCTTGGTGAAATTTTGCAGGCTTCTATACAAGACAGGTATTTCTATGTATGTCAACACTAAAACCAGGCTTATGTGTGATTTGATGGGCCCAAAATTGAGGCTTCTATTCAAGTGCGGCTTTTATACAAGACTTTACGGTACTTGAATACAGGAAGACACCGCACACAATTTAGGAATCAAACACACAAACATTCTCCTCGTATATGAAACCCAGCTGCATACGTACGTAGCACTTCATGTCTAAAATGTAGTTCGAATACTGAGCTAACAATGCAATGGCTTACAATGCAGGATGGCCAAAAAAATTAATGTTTCATGTAATTGATCTTCAGTGTGAGCATGTCAAAACATTCATTTTTATGTTGACTCTACGAATCAACGCATTAAAAAAAAAGCACTAGAGTGCAGTGCAGGGCAACGACGTGTCAAGAATCAAGTTACGTACACCGACACACTACGTACAACATGTACACGCACTCTGCATTTCGCAATTCCAATAATTATTATATTACGCAATCAAACAAAATCTAATTAGTCGCAGAGAGCTCTAGAGAACTGGAAAGTCGCTACGCACGACACGAAACCGAATTGCTTGAAACAACCCACAAGCGTGCACTGCGATTTTCCTATGGCGCAGAAAACTCTTTTTCATTGAACACGAGCAGCAGGAGAATGCATGATCTGATTTAGCTCGACACATCCAACTGGCTTGGCATACGTATGACATTGACGGTGGACGGAAGGGGAAGCAGAAACCAGGTATAACTCCTGGAGTCGCCCTGTGAACGGCGAAGTGAGAGGTCATACTGACAATAGGACGAATCAATAAAATTAATGTTTCCTCCACGCAAAACAAAAACACAGAGAAGAAAAGAAAAATTTCCACTAAAAATTTGAGGTGGGCGAAGTACTTCCACTAAGTAGATTCGGGGCAGGAGAGAAAATCCCCCGAAGCACCACCCCACTTTGACTGGTACAGAAAAGACGGCTGGTGGTAAAGGACCGACCCGGTGTAAATCAATCCCGGCAAGGTCGCATTAGTTGAAGGGAAACCACACAATTATCAATCGGAAATATTTGTATGGGCGTACCTGAGCAGAGGAGCCATTCGCAGCCGTGGTAGCAGTAGGCACCCCATTGGCTTTGAGAGCATCTGGAGCCTCCTCTCCGCCCTCAGCTTGCCTCT